CTCTCTCTCTCTCTCTCTCTCTCTCTCTCTCTCTCTCTCTCTCTCTCGCTCTCTCGCTCTCTCACACACACACACACACACACACACCTGGGCCACTGAAAGTGAGAGAATCTCAACCTCCATGTGCAAGACTCACCCAGGGAGCTTGATAAATGCAGATGGCCCTGGCACTCTGTTTCAGTGGGTCGTGGATGGGCCCAGGAATCTGCATTTTAGTGCTCAAGGCCCAGGCTTGGGAGACTCCAACCCTAGGCTGGCAGCACTGATGAGGGCCAGGTTCTGCTCACTTTTGGGCTCTCGATGCCTGGCGGGGAGTGGGCACACAACAGCCCTTGTTAAAGCAGCATTTTTCTTTTTTTTTTTTTGCGGTACGCGGGCCTCTCACTGTTGTGGCCTCTCCCGTTGCGGAGCACAGGCTCCGGATGCGCAGGCTCAGCGGCCATGGCTCACGGGCCCAGCCGCTCCGCAGCATGTGGGATCTTCCCGGACCGGGGCACGAACCCGCGTCCCTGCATCGGCAGGTGGATTCTCAACCACTGCACCACCAGGGAAGCCCTAAAGCAGCACTTTTAAAGCAGTTTCCACCCAAACCTTCTGGCAGCTCTAGTCTCTAAAGAAAAACTCATGTCATAAAACGCCCTGTGTCCCTTCTTCTCGCTCTCTGTTCTCCTAGGTACCTGGGACTTGAAATACCACCTGTGTGCTCATGACACACATTTCCAACCCAGTTCTGGCCCAGAACTTCAGCCCCATCACCCACTGCCTCCTGGACAGCCCCAAGGGTACCTAATGAGCATCTCCAACTTAACGTGTCCAAAACAAACCTTGACTGCACTGCCTCTCCAGCCCTGCACAGTAGTTAAATCCCGGTCCCCCACCTTCCAGATGTCGTGGCCACATAATTAAAGTTCATCAGAGGTCTCTCTCTTTCCCTTGTCTAAGCTCTCAGAAAGTACACCCCCCTACTTCAAACCCTTCATGGTTTCCCACTGCTCTTCGAATAAAAAGCCAAACTAAGGACTTGCCTTGGTCCTGCTCACTATGTTTGGTCTGCTGGCCTTGACGAGGTTCCTCCAATACACCAAACTTAATCCTGCCTCAGGGCCTTTTCACTCGCTGTCCCCTCTCCCAGAAAGCAGTCTCTCAGCTCATTACATGGCTACCTCCTAATCACCATTCAGGTCTCAGCTCTGATCATTCAGTCCCCCATTCACCCATCACATAGCTTTAACTTTCTTCTTAGCATTTATATTCGTATGAAACTCTCATTTCCTTTTTTTTTTTTTTTGGTTAATTTTTTGAGGGATGACCTATATATTGTGAAGTGCACAAATCTTATGTTTACAGCTTGATGAACTTTTCATACATTTGTAAACACCACCCACATCAATATAGAACACTTCCCGCACACCAGCAGGATTCTTCCTGCCTCTCCCTAGTCAGTACCCCCAAGGTGCCAATCTGTCTTCTATCACCATAGATTAGCTTTCTCTACTCTTGAACTTCAAATAAACTGAATCATATGACATGAACTCTTGTGTCTGGCTTCTTCTGCTCAACATTCTGTGAGATTCATCCACATTGTTGCACGTAGCAGTGGCTCATTCTTTTTTATTGCTGAATAGTATTCAATTGTATGACTATGCCACAACTTGTCCATTTATTTATGTCAATTTGGGTTGTTTCCAGGTCTGAACTTTTATGAATATAGCTCCTGCGGGTATTCTTGTACCTGCCTTTGGTGAACATATACACTAAGTTCTCTTGGTTATATATCTAAAGATAGGATTGCTAGGTCAGAGTACAATGTTCAGATTCTGTAGATGCTGACGAGCAGCTTTCCACAGTGTTTGTTCTCGTTTACACTCATCAGCAGTATGAGAGCTCCAGTTGCTCCACATCCTCACCAATACCTGGCATTGGCAGTCTTTTTTATTTCTAGCCGTTCTGATAGGTATGTACTGGTGTCTCATCGTGGTTGTACTTCCATGACTAATAAAGTTGAACACCTTTTCATATTTATTGACCACAGGAATATCCTCCTATGTGAAGGGTCTGCTCAGATTTTTTTGCTGATATATTAGGGTGGTCTATCACATTGAATTTATTTTCAGGATTTTTTCGGTGTGTGTACCCAGATAAAAATTCTTTGTCAGATATATGATATGGTGCCTTTAAATGAAGTGTCCATTGGTTGTCTGTCTCTACTCTGTGACTAAGTCCCAGACAGCTGGGGCTGCGTTTAGTTCACCAATGTATTTCTAGAACCTAGCACATGATAGGAACTTAATACTGGAATTCAATCAGTTGGGATTTCTGGGACAGAATTAACATCGAGCATCTTCTCACTTGTTCGCTCATTTGTTGGTGCTGGTTTGCTCTATCTCCCGTCCTCACCTTCCTGTGCCCTCAATGTAATGTAGTCAGACTCTACATTAGACTCGACTCTCAGATCACACTCCTGAGACATTCTTGCCAGCTGACTCCGTGTTGGCATCTGCAATGGAGGCACTGGGGGGAGATGAAAGGCGGGAGAGGAGTGCCTCTCTTTCTGATTCAGATTTCTGACGATGTCTCTGGCAGCGGCAGCGGCACTGGCCACACCAACTTCAGTAATGAATAAGTGTGGCTTGCAAAATTACAGTCAAACTGAATTCACAGCTGTGTCAATTCTTTCAGGTGAAATTTATGGCACTGAATGGGAAGGAGTGAGACCTTGAGATCTGGAATGGGGGTATTTGGGCAGACTCGAACAAATCTGAGAATCTTCCACTCACAAATCCTCAGGCCTCCCTTGCAGAAGCAGCAGGCTCCTCAGAGAAATGGCTAATTCCAAATCTGGAAAAGTAAAAGTAAATGACGAGCCTAGAATATCTCATGCCAAATTAAGAAAGTGCTCAAAGGACGATAGAGATATGGCAAAAGGACACAAATGTCAATGTGGAGGGGCTCCAAATGGACAAATTGTGCACAACAGTATCTGATTATAACTACTACAGTGTGTGCATGCATGCGTCTGTGTGTGTGTAAAGCTCTTCCTTATAGTAGAATGCTGACTAATAAATTACAGGAAAGCTTGACAACCACTAATTGTTCAAGCAAGAATCATCAATGACTGCTAAAACTAGTGGATAAAAGTTTGATGAGAGCTGAATATTTACATAGTCTCAAAGTATCTCCCATAAAGAGAAAAATCATTACAGTGGAAAAACCTGGCAGATACTATCTTTAAGTAATTAAAGTTAACATCACCAGTAATGGTTCAAACTGACATCATGTACCTCCTGATATGAGGCATCAAGGACATAATATCACTTCTGTAGTATTCCTGCCCAATTGCATAATCTCAATTAAATCATGAGAAAAATACCAGACAAATGCAAACTGAGTGCATTCTACAAAGTAATTGTCCTTTAAAAATCTCAAAGTATGAAACATAGAGGAACTGTTCCAGATTAGGGAAGACTCAAGAAACATGACATCCAAATACAAAAAGCAATCATGATGGCATCCTGCACCTTTTTGTTCTTTCTTATAAAAGACATTAGTGGAACAATTGGTGAAATATGAATGAAGCCTGGATATTAACTAACAGCATCATATACTTTATTTCCTAATTTTAATAATTGTACTGTGGTTATGTAAATGTCCTTGTCTCAAGGACACACACCCTGATATGTTTAGGGATAAGGGACATAATGTCTTCAATTTGCTTTCAAGTGATTCATAAAAAATACTTACTGAGAGTCATTACTGTGAGTGTAGTTATTGAGTAAAAAAAAAAAAAATAATGCAGGTGTGGTAAAATGTTAGCAATTGGAGAATCTGGATGAAAGATATGTGGGAGTTTTTCCTACTGTTCTTGCAAGTTTTAAGTCTGAAATTATTCAAAATTTTTAAAATCCCTCTTCTCCCCAAAAAGAATCACTATATTTCAGTGACTAATGAAATAACAGACCTAGGCAATGATCATCAATGAATGTTAAAACTGCTACATGAAAGATCAACAGAACTTTTATAATGGATGAACCAACCTGATAGCAACAGGACTGATGAATTTTGACATAGTGAAAATGGGACAACCAGACAATGCTGCCTGTGATGCAACAGGACCGTACAGCAAGTACGTATTCTTGGAGGGGGAGAGGAGAATCTGAATCCAGTTGTTTCTAGACCTGACTACTCATTCACAGGTGTGCGGGAGAGTAACAAATTGACACTATAAGGACGCTCCTTGCTGAGTCCACATTATGGGATGTTCTGTGGGTAAATGATCTTGTTTCTTCAATTTTTTTTTTTTTTTGAGGGGAAACTGGTTAGACTGAGAGACTTAAACATAGCAACCAAATGCGATCCGTGAACCTCAGTTTGATTTTGATTCTGATTCAAACCTTTGTAAAAAGACATTTTTAAGATAATCTGAAAAAAATCACACAGACTGGGTTTAGATACTAAGAAATTATTAATATTCTTAATGTGGTATTGGCATGTACTTTTTTTTAAAGGTATCTTTGTTACCATGCACATTAAAATATTTACGAGTGACTCAATGATATCTAGGATTTGTTTTAAAATATTCTAAGGGAAAAAAGGTGAGATTAAAAAAACAAAATTGGTAAAACGGTAGGAGTTTGTTACATTAGCTGCTGTGACTGAAAGTTGTGTCCCCCAAGATTTTTATGTTGGGAGCCCTAGTCCCAATGGGATGGTATTCAGAGGTGGGGCCTCGGGGAGGTGGTTAGGGTTA